AAGGATTTGATGCAATGTTCTCTGATTCTAAAACCACTGCTCTGTTGTACCATGCTACCATCCCACCCCTTCTAAACCATCCTACATACAATGTTATGATGGTGTTTAACAACCATTTCTTTCCCCCCAAAAATTATAGAACACATTTTAAAACTAAATCTGCATTATTAACATTTTCCCTATCACTTCCTTAAGTCTAGAAGCCAACAAAGCAATAAATCAAGCCCAATTTTTAGCATTTCTCAATTTCCAGTTATAAATACTCACAATGAAAATTTAACAATTGGTTCTATCAAGCCTGCACACCCCTGCCTACCATTATCAGATTAATCTTCCAATTTCACAGCTCTAATCACATCATTACATTAAAAAACCTCCAATGCCTCACTCCCATTCCTTACAGAACAGGCCTGGGAAATAAGGTCCTCTAAAATCTAGCCCCAATCTACCCTTTTGATCTTCCACATAAAACATTTGATATATATGATTATTTGACATTATCCTGCACTATCCCATCCCCATTCCTTTGCTTCCACCATTCTACTAATGTAAAATAGTCTCCCTCCTCCCAGATCTCAATCTATAAAAATTAAATTCCAAAAATTCAATTGGCCAAGGTCAGTATGAGAAGGCTTGGCTGGACAGCTGGGGTTACTGTGAACTGCAAGTTCAAATATGAGGAAGCAATACAGTCTGCACTGACAGGCATCATGTCTAAAATTACTGAAGTGATAGTCCCTTTATGCTATGCCCTGGACAGATCATATCTGAAGTATTATGTTATTTGAGAGGAACATTTTAAAAATAATTTTTTATTGATGTCTTCTTTCTTCCATCACCAAAATTTTCTCCATATCATTTTCCCTCCCCTTTCCAGAAAGCCATCTCATATAACCAATATTTTTAAAGAAAATGAAGAGAAAAAAAAATCAGCAAAACTAATAAAAAAAAATCTAAAATTACTTGCAATGTAGAATACAGGTGGACCCTCTTATCTTTTGTAAAGGAGTGGGGTGGGGTTTCTCATATCTTATCACATCTCTTCTTTGGAGCCATGCTTGTCCTCTGCAATTTGCAACATTCACTTTTAATTGTTTTGCGGTTGTTTTTTCCATTGATATTGTTGTAATTGTGTATATTGTTTTCTTGGCTCTGTGTACTCTGAATCAGACTGTGTAAAGCTCGCCTTATTCCTCTGTATTCATATTTGTTGTTGTTGAGTCATTTCAGCCATTTCTGACTAGTGGAGACCCCGTTTGGAATTTTCCTAGCAGAGAGACTGGAGTGGTTTGCCATTTCCTTCTCCAGCTCATTTTACAGATAAGGAAACTGAAGTAAACAGGGGTAAGTGACTTGTCCAGATAGTGTCTGAAGTTGATTTGGACTCAGGAAGGACTCCAGGCCTGGCACGAATCCACTGTGTCACCTAGCTGTTCAATCTTTATTCCACTGCATTGAAATGCCATAATTTGTTTAACCATTCACCATTTGATGGGCATCAACTTTGTTTTCAATTCTTTGCTATCACAAAGAAGAGCTACTATAAATATTTTGGTATGTATGGGGACTTAATGACCTCGCTGAGGTACATGCCTAATAGCAGAATCTCCACATCAAAGGGCATGGACATTTTAGTCACTTTATTTGCATAATTGTTCTCCAAAATGGTTGTATTGATTCATAGCTCCAAAAGTATACCAATGTGCCTCTCTTTTTACAACTCCTCCAATACTATTTCCATTTTTTGTCATCTTGGCCAATTTGCAGGGTGTGAGTTGAATCCTCAGAATTGTTTTGATTTGCATTTATTTTATTATTAATGGTTTGGAGTATTCTTTCACATGGTTATTAATACATTACTTTTGAAGCTATCTATAGTCATCTAAAAATGCTCTAAATCATGATTGATTAGAGAAATGCAAATTAAAACAACACTGAGGTACCATCTCACAGTTATCACATTGGCTAATATGACAAAAAGGGAAAATGATACATGTTAAAGAGGATGTGGGAAAACTGGGACACTAATGCACTGTTGGTGGAGTTGTGAACTGATCCAACCATTCTAGAGAGCAATTTGGAACTATGCCCAAAGAGCAACCGGACTGTGCATACTCTTTGATCCAGCAATACCACTGCTATATCTGTTTCCCAAAGATTTAAAAAAAAAAAAAAAAAGGAAAAAGGACCTATATGCATGAAAATATTTATAGCAGCTCTTTGTGGCACACATTTTAGGAAACACATTGACAAGTTCCCCTAAAATCCTATGGTTTTTTGCCTCTCTGTAACCTCATTACTTGGCACAAAGCAGGCACTTAAATGCTTGTTCACTTGACCCTGATAACTCACAATGTGTGGGAATCTTGTGTTTTCAAAGACTATCCCTATAGAACTCAGTATGTCATTAGAGACCTACCAAATTAGAAAGGGTTCAAACACAGCTGATGACCTGTACTTGAAGGCTAGACTGTTTCAAGAAGCTCATCACCAGTTTGGTAGTAGGCTGATAAATTACATGGTCACAGCAAGTCTCAGAGATCATCTACATTATAAGCCAGTTGAAGTGGAAGAGAGGCTAAATTTGCCTAAATCTGTTGAGATATGAGGAAAATTTTCTTAATTATTAGAGGTATGCAATGGTAGACTGGCTGACTCAAGAGGAACAATGTGTTTCCTACTATGGAAGTCTTCAAATGGAAGTTGGGAGATGACTAGTCAATGATTGGTGTTCAGGTCTAGGCTGGGCTAGATCAATCAATTAATACACATTAAGCACAAACTATGTACTAGGCATTGTGCTAGGTACTGGGGATACAAAACCAGAAATGAAACAGTATCTAGATGCAAGATGCTTGCATTCTATAGAGGGAAACAACAAATTGTACACAAAATAAAAGCAAGGTAATTTAGGGGAGGAAAGCTTTAGCATCTGGGAGATAAATGAAGAGATTATTTAGATGGTGTTTGACCTAAACTTTGAAGGCAACTAGTGATTCTAAAAAGTGAAGGGGAGGAGAGAACAAATCCCAGGCATGATGATCAACCTGTACAAGGACACAGAGAAAGAAAAATGGAATGTTAGGTGTGAAGAGGATCAAGAAGACCAGTTTGCCTAGATCAAAAAAGTACGTGAAAGAGAAATGTATAAGGTTGTAAAGATAAGTTGGGGCCAGGTTGTGAAAAGTTTTAAATGACAGAGGAATTTGTATTTGATTCTACAATAGGGAGTAACTAGTTTATTCATCATTCAACTGAAACTGCTATCTTCAAAGTTACCAACAATCTCTTAATTGCCAAACATAATGGCCTTTTCTCAATCTTCATGCTCTTGACCCCTGTAACCCTTGATATTGTCAATCACCTTCTCCTCGATATTCACTTCTCTTTAGGTTTTTTATGATACTTCTCTCCTGCTTCTCCTCCTACTGGTCAAACAGCTTTTTTAGTCACCTTTGCTGAATCATCCAAGTTATAACAAGCTAATTATGGGTGTCCTCCCAAGTCTTCTTTATACTAATTTGCTTGATCTCATCAGTTCCCATAGATTCAATTGTCATCTCTATGCAGATGATTTTCTGATCTATTTATCTAGCCCTAATTTCTCACTTGACCTCCAGGGTTACATTTCCCACTACCAATTGCACATCTCTAACTGGATGTTCCATAGACAATTTAAATTCACTATGTCCAGAAGAAAACTCACTATTTTCCCTCCAAATCTTCCTAATTTCCCTCTTACTGTTAAGGACTCTACTACCTTCCCATTCACAAAGGCTCAAAACCTGTCATCCTAAACTGCTCACTCTTTCTCGCCCCATTTCCAATCTGTTGCCAACTCCGGTTGATTTCACCTTTTCCATATCTTTCATATGTTCCTCCTTCTTTCTTCTAACCCTACAACCACCCTGGTGCAGGCCCTCATCTCTTGTCTGGATTATTTCAATAGCCTTTTGGTTGTTCTTGTTCTCATCTCTCCCTGCTCTAATCCATTCTCCACACAGCTATCAAGATGATCTTTCCAAAGTACGGGTCTTACCATTTCACCTACATCCCCATTCTCTAAACTCCTATGGTTCCCTATCTTTTCCAAAATCAATATAAAATCCCGCTTATTTAAGGCTCTTCATAATGCAGACCTTCCTACCTTTCCATTCTTCTTTCACCTTACTCCTCAACACATACTCTTTGATCTCGTTGATACTGGCCTTCCTGCTCCTCACACAGGACACTCTATCTTAGGGGCTTAATAAATGCTTGTTAATTTGACTGGACTTGCCCCAGTAAAGGAGACTGAGGAGAGGTCAGGAAGACCAAGAGAGCATTGTCATGAAAACCCTATGAGGAAAGATTAGCCAAGACAACAGAGTAATCAAGAGGTCAAAAAGGAAGGTTGATAAAAAGGTACTTATATAAGGAAATTTTGAGGGTCATTCTAATTCAAAGATTCTGTGATTCTATCAAGGAACCTTCAAAGCCACCATAAGCCCAGTCAGAAGTGATTTGTCCTCCTACACTCTCACAGTATTTTGAATCTCTCATATACAGTTCTCATGCACTACTTTATTTACATGGTTTAATTCTCCTCATAAATCATAACCTTCTTTATAAACTACTCACCTTACCTTTTTACCCCACCTCAATGCCTATCATAGTGCTTTGCACATAATGGACACTGTTTATTAATTAAAATGACTTAATGAAATCTAAAGGTCTTGACAATTAATGAGCTTCTCAGGTTATAAAGTATCTTTCATCCTCAAAATCCTTTATATACTCAGATGAACATTTCTCGTTTGTCAAATGAGAGGTTGAGAGTGAGGAAAAAGTAGTCATTGTTACATGGTGAATTTTAGTTGGTAGTTTATCTAAATAGGGTGACTTCCAAAAAAAAGCACACACATAAAAATAAGTTGCACACTAGAACAATAATTTCATAAGTTTTTTTTAATTTAGTAAAATCAGAATCATAATATCAGGTAATACAAAAATTCCTTGATTTTTTTTTACATCATTAATACCTACCCCATACTGTTTAAAAAGGAAGGAAATAAAAAATTTCCCCACATATCTGCATACTTTACAAATTTCAAAAGCATCTATTTGAAATGCATTTGAAAAATATAATGTATACACAAGTGAATTTAAAACACAAGTTACTGCAAAAATGGAAATTACTTCCTTTACAAAAGGTTCCCATCTTTCAGCATGTTGCCCACACTAATTTCACAAACAAAAAAAAGCCTTCATTTTTCTTTTCTAATATACCTAAAGTATCCTTTAACTTCAATAAAAAAATACACAAAACTGGAACCATATATATGTGCATTCATTAATACTTTCAGTTACTATGGCAGCTTAAGTTATAACAATTACAACAAGCCTTTGAAGTACTGAGTATCCCAAAGTTTTAGTGCAATTTTAAGTTACTAAACCTTGAAACATCATTAAAACTTTTGGGATACCTAGAATTACTTATGGAATTAGTAGTGTCAAAGTCTAAATGCCAAAAGTAATTATGGACTATTCTGTCACAGAAATAAAAATGAAGTAATGGTACAATGAGTCATATTTCCATCCACAAATTGAAGCTCATCAGAAATATTCTTACAATTGAAGGTAGTGCTCACCAGCCTTTTTTGGGGGGTGATTGCAAATTGTACTTTATTATTACTAAGCAAACAGTTTTATTGTTGAGGGCACTGTGTCTGAGTTGGTTTGGAAGACACATAAAGGGTAGTGTATGTTTTCTTAAAAGTTTTTCTCTCAGGTTTGCTTGGAGTTTCTTTCCCCTCTTTAGCTTCTGTTTGGAGCTTCGATTCAGCAACTAATAACCTACAGGTAGCAAAGCAACCACTCTAAATTCCAATTACTTATGAAAAGACAGTTTGAAATAAAAATTCTACTGTAAAGAACTGAAGTGACTCAGCCAAACTATATCCCCTCACAAATAAAAAACAAAGAGTATTCTCAGATCATTAAAAAGGTCTAGTCATTGTTTTACTTAGGGGAACATTTTTACACTTACAACTTTTCATTTAAAAGGTTACTAGCTTTTTTATTTTAAATATTATCTTAGATTGAGAGCTGGAAGGGACCTCTTTAGAAGTTATTTAGTTCAATCAACTAGTTCTACAGATGAAAAAAGGAGGTTCTAACAGGTCAAGTGATTTATCTAAGGTCACAAAATCATTAAGTAGCAGAGTCAGGATTCAAACCTAGGTCCTCGATTTCAAATCCAGAATTATTTCCTCTTTATAAATCAGTAATATACCAGCCACAAACAAGTCTAACAATCAGGCTGTAATCAGCACGCTGTGCAAAAGAGATTTAAATGCCTATTCACTAAACAAAAAAGACAAAAAAACAGCACTGACTATAGATACATAAACTTTTGACAATTATACACACATGCAAAGAAAGCTGTGACTAGTGGATTTTAGAATTTGTAGATTATAAACACCATTACCACCATGTTGATTCTTTTTAACAAGTTTGTCAATTTTATGAGTCAAGCGTGCAAGACAGGAAATATCAAATAAATCTGAATTTTATCTTGATTTAAAATGCATTGAAATTGCTTTAGTATCATATCATGTATATATGTAAGTATAATTATGCAGTTAAGTATAATAATCATTTCAAAAGACTAGAGAAAGTCCTAATTTGGCAAGTGGTCACAAAAAAAGGTAGTATTTTGGGATGTTTTTGTGAACTTGAAAAATGTTAGTGTGCTACATAAATATGCAGCCCATCTAACATTAAGTAGCTATTTGCTTAAAGAAATTTACCAAACCTGTAAAGGACTGACAAAAAAGCAATAAGGAAAAGCAGCAAAGATTGCATTATTCAATTCTAAGAGACTCCTACACAAACATACAGAAATCAAGCACTTATACAATGAAGCACAGACATAGAAAAGTTAAATATAATTTGATGACTTGACTTTAACAATATCTGCAAAATGAGGCCTCAGATATTGTTTCTTAAAATTCTGGCCTTGGAATTGCCAAAGTTACATATTATGTACCTTACAGGTAACATTGCCAGTAAAGCAACTTGTACATGCTTTGTGAAACATTCAGACAAAGGAATTAATATTAGAACACTTCATCTTGTAAATGCTGTAATAAGAGACATCTTAATATAAAAGTTACAACATTGAGATTACACAGATGTACAACAATGAAGAATTGGTCATGTGTTTCAAAATTGCTAAATTTAGGTCTTATTTTCTATCTTTTAACATTAAACTAATTTCACGGGCTAAATAAATAAATAAATAAATAACTTTAGATGTTTTGATCAAAGCCAAAGAGAGGATAATTTTTATCTTCTCTCCTACAGTGTTTGGATCCATTCTCCTCTACATTCAATGGACATTGAATAAATATTGCCTGCTGATTAAAAAAAGATTAAGGCTAAGTATATAAAGTAGCCTTACAAGGTGGAGTATCTTATTTCATTATTGTAAAATAACTTTCTCTTTGCTTTTCCCACTCATCCAGGACAGTAATACTTTAAAATTCCTGAATAGGCAACCCTGTCGCACCCCGAAGTCAACTCCACCATCTCCTCATTATCATATGCCTTTTCTCCCTTCTCTTCTCCTTCCATAGTCCCTTCTTCTTCTCTCAGTTTCCTTCCATTTGCCTTTCCTTTTTCTTCTGACTTACACCTTAGGCAGACTGTGGCATTCATACCCTAACTTCACCAAAGCTAAGACTATAGAAGTCAATAACCTCTGTTGGACACAAGTCCTTTCCACTAATTTGACACTTCTATTCTTCTCTACTCACAGACTCGATCATCCAAACTTTCTTAGTTTACTATTTTATCCTATCAACCCCTTCCACTAACTTGCTCTTCTTACTCACTTCTTTTCAGAAACTCCTTTATCCAAAGCCAATCTCTTTTTATCTCTTAAGGTAACTAGGCCCTCAAAAAGACATTTCTTTCAGACATGTCCTGTACCTTGGTAACACCCACATTTCATCATGTAGAGACTAAATGCTTTACAGGGATAAGTTTAAATGATAAAACTAAAATGGATTAGCTTTGATTGATAGAATCAAAATAAATATCTATCAAAGAATATTCTTGAAAGCTCTTAAGCTTCAAAAACTGACAACTTATTCAGGATCAAATCAAAGGTTAAAACAATTTTCTCCCAGATGAAGTTTCTTAGGACACGCTCTTTTAGAAAGAAGGCAAATGAAATTTCCCCTCATGACTACTACTGAACTAGGAAAAGTAGCATATTCATTCAAAGAACATGTTAGTAAATTTACTGTGATGTTTCTATTTTAAAGACAAAATAGTCTTGTTACATGAAAAAGGCAATTCTAAATCTGAGAGCAGAGCTCCACTGCTTATGCGTCCTTTCTATCTGAGATCATTTTAGTCTTTTTTAGAGTTTTGGGAAAATTGAAGGGAGGTAGGTGAAGCTGAAGGATCACACTGCATGCAATACTAAGAAAACAGACAAAGAAATGGAAAGCACAGGTCATGCAGCGAAAGAAAACAGATGAAGGTGCCTGCTCACTGCCTTGAGGAGACACTAGAGAGGTCACTGACCTGGAAGGATTAGCAGCGTTGTCATTTCTTTCAAGTAAAACTTTTGAGCTGGACGGAATGCCAATGATTTTCACACGCTTCTTTTCCTTCAGAGGTTGTTTATCCACAGGTGGAGTTTGGGAGAGAGAGAAAGTCACAGCTGAATTCCCAGAATTCTCTGACGGGATCTGGTTTTCTCCTCCTAGATTACTGGCAGAGGAGTTGGTCTTACTGTCAGAGGTTAAATTAGAAGGGTCTTCTAGGACAGTGCTAGCAGAAGTTTCATCTTTAGACAGAGGTACATCCAGGGGCAACTTCTCACACTTTCTTTTATGTACAGGTATTTCAACTGGTTCTGAGAAGAAAAATATTTCAAAGAGGTTAAAATAAAAATATTTTAAAAATACTAGATGCCACTGATGTTCATTTTTTTAATATTCTTCCTGTCAATGTATGTTTATTAAAATATATTGTGAGTTAAGCTCTGCGCTAGGCACTGGCGAGATACAAAGACAAGTATGACATAATTCCTACCCTCAAAGACTTACAGACATCACAATCAACCATTACAGAGGGCATAGTCTGAAACATACTTTACCATCTTGTTATTTTTTTTCATGGCTTCAAATTCTGAACTCTTAGATCTGTTCCAAGTGCTAACATTTGATAACTTTCTGGGTATGATGTAAACCTAGCTGCCAGTCAAGGAATACCACATCTTCAAATGATTAAAACCGAAGGATATCAAGAGGAGGAGAAAAGATGTATTCATGATAAGCATGAAGAGGAAGTCAGCTTTACCAGTGAAGAACTGTACAAAAGTGGCAAAAATGTATCAGAGATATGTATAGCTGAAAATATAAATAGGCCAGTCACAGAGTGAGAGTGAGGGATAACCAATAAACAGCCATATGTCACAAGTATCTACACAATGTCAAGAGATCATGAAGAAAGCTACCAGTATGTATACCTGGTGAGCTGCCTGTTATGGTTACAGGCAGAACAAAGAAGTTGACATCAGAAGAAAGAGCTATTTTGTTTTTAAATGCATATCCAATCTGTGTGAACTTGAGAAGTGATATAGCACAGCTTTTTAAAGGAAAATGTTTTTGAAAATAATGAAAATCTCTGGAAAAATCTCAATATAATTTAAAGATTTAGAGAAGTAGAATTATTCCCAAGCTCCTTGGCTACAGATTTTTTTTTTTAACAAATACCACATACCACTATACCATAAATTCATCATCAAGAAATTCAAAGAAAATCATTAAGTGATTTAATCACTACATGATTAAGTGCATCAAGATGCAATGGCAAGGGCGTGGTCTAAAATGAACCTAATTTAAAGTATAATCATATAGGGAGACTATATTAAAAGAAATAAAAAAATGTAAAGACATTAAAATGAGTACCTTCTGATCAGAGTCTTTACATAACTATATCAACTGTACGTAGCCTAATTTGTGTAAAAATGTTCATATAGTCATTAGTAGGGCTACAGATGAAGATCAGTATTTTCAAGTCTACTCAGTTTATACATTTTCTTTTAAATTATATGACTTAAAAAACAAACAAAAAAATTATATGACTTACCTTCAGGTTCATATTTCATTTTCAGTTCATCTAGTTTAACTCTTAGGTTCATATTTTCACTTTGGAAAAGCTGGAGATGCCTTTCATTTGCAAAAAGCTTTCTCTCTACCTCCAAAACCCGCTGGCTCTCATATAATGCCTTCATCCGCTGTAAGGATAGTTCATCTCTAACCTTTTCAATCTCTTTGCTATGGGAAAAAAATTACTAATTGCTGTTAAAACAAGTTAATGTTTTTTAAGGAATGTATCTAATGTTTTAAAATAACAAAGGTTACATAGCATCAAATTATGTGTCACTAAAAAAATTAGTTTACTTCAACTCCTCATTAAAACAGCTGTTACTTTTGTACAGGGTACTTAATAAAGTATCATTAGAAGTCAAATAGACTCAAATTGTAATAGTCCTCACGAAAATTTCTCAGTTAAGAAACACTGCTTACAATCAAAACAGGGATCAGAGAAGGGGAGGACACAGTGTGCCATATCTATTTTTACTGTGTGAATTCTTTGAAGTTTAGAATGAAGGAAGCAATTTTACACTTTGGAAAACATAAAAAAAATTAGAAAGATTTTTTAATATTCTATCCATGAAAATTAAAGCATATTTCATTGTGACATAAATTTATAAAACTGAATGTAAAGAACTAAAACCATTATTTTGATCAAATTAGTATTTGTTTTTTTTTACAACTTTCATTCTTAATTTTGAGCTGTCAACATCAGAAAAAAAAACTGCATTGAAATACACTGCATAGAAACAAATGAAAAAAAAAAAGTTATTTCTCTATATCCTACCTATCTCTAATACTTACTTTGAGTTTTCAAGCTTCATTTGAAGTAAATCAATGTAATATGTATTATCTTCAGAAGTGCACGAGCTATTAGAGGGCTTAGATTCCATGTTTTCGTATAAATTCTGAAGAAAAGAATCACACTCATCACAAAATATACAACAAATAATGTGCAATATTGACTTCTAAAATTGGATAGAAATATGTTTCTAAAATTGGATAGAAATATGTTTAAGAGATTTTGAATTTTTTTTCCTTCATGGTACCCAAACATGGAAAACTTAGAGGTGGAAAAGAACCTGAATAATTTTTAAAAATGAATTAATTTCATCTGATGACTAAAATGTTATCATAGAATTAATGCAAATACTTAGTTGAAACCATATGAAAATATTCCAAGCCAATAAAGTTATATCTAAAAGATCAAAATGTTCAACATTTTTTAGCTATAGAAAACTATTAAAAAGGTGTTATACATACCTTAAATTTCTCTAGCTGCTTTATTTTCACTAAAAGATTTTCTACTTCACCATTCTTCTGCTCTAACATAGCCTGTAAGCGTTCCAGCTGCTCAAATTCTGTTTGTGACCCTTTCATCTGTAGCAGTGTGGCAATTTGTAACTAGAAAAATGAAATAGTCTTCATAAGCTAAACAAAAAAAAAACCAACCCCAGAAAACAGAATTGGATAACCAAGACTTATTGGTACACATATTTGTTCTAATGGCATTGCTTCAATTCATTTTTAAAATGAATACAGTAGTATACCCTATATTTGTGGTTTAATATGAAATATATCTGCCAATATCTTTTATTTTAAAATATGCATAAAAGACAAAAATCATATTTAAAGTGAAAAGGAAAACAGAGATCAAAAGAATTCAAAATATTTTCATGTCAATCTGCTGTTTTGCTATTTTTTAAGCAAATAAGGCTTTCTAATGACTTAAGAAATTTTTAAAATTTCAATTAAAAGTGAGCTATCACATAGAAACTATGTTATTCTATCAAAAAAAATTTTTTTAAAGCATCCATGAGATCTGAGCAACCCAAGACATAATGTGGGTTGCTTTAGGTTGGTAAGAATATCTACTTCTCCCTCTACAACTTCTTACCTACTACCTTCCCCCTGTTCCTACTCTCCCTCTTCTGCCCCAGCAGCCAGTACTATTTTAAGGAAGAAGAGTTTCGAGAATCACTGATCAACAGGTAGGGATGATGAGATCCCTGACCGTGAACAGGATCAAGGCATCTCAGGCTGTTTGAAGATTACATACCTGCAGACTGCCATCCATCTAATCATAAGTCTTTTAGCTTAACACCTGTAATTTGATTTATCATAAATACTTAAGTGCCATGAAGACTTGTACCATACACAACTGCATGCTGCATCATAGATGATTTATATATGTGTGTGTGTGTATGTGAGTGTGTATGTATGTATGTATGTCTACCTACTTGTTCCTACTACTATCTTGATCTCACTGGGAGGGTTACACCAAGAAGAGATGTGTTCTTGACCCTAAAGTGGAGCTATTCATATCAGTTAGTTTCAAGAGAGCTGTACATATTATAAATGAAGAACAATAGTGGCTAAACAGACTTTTGCTAACTGGCTTTAGGAGTTCAACAACCATAGATAACATTGTTTCAAATGTGTTAAAACTTTGGAATGCTACCCATTTAAAAGCTGGAGATTTCCTGAATGGGGGGGGAGAATGAGAGGGAAGAGGTGTGATGTACGTCTTCTATATGATGACCTGCAGTTTTTGGCTTTTTCTTGAGAGAATATATTTGTTTAAATTTCTCTACATTAGTACCACACACAATTACAAATAAATACTTGACGATTATCCCACACCTTCATTCTTTGCATCTGTTCTCTATTAAATGAGTGTTGTTTTTGAAGAGATTGATACTTGACTTTCATACTGATCAACTGTCGTTCCATTTCCGCCCTTCGATCTTCCACCTGGAAAACATCACTTTTTAAATACTTTCTTGAGTAGTAGAAAAGATGTAGTGCTCCACTGGTTAACTCATTATTCAAATTTTAAGTACCTCTGCAAACAAAGAGTTGCCTTTACTGTTGGGGTCCAAGGCCTGCTGCAATGCATGGTCCAACTGGGTTTGTAGATCCTGATTAGTTACACGAGCTTTCTAAATTAAAGAAGAAAACCTAAATAATATTTGTAAATTCAAAAACCAACCAAAGGCTAGAGAAAAAGGAGATCAGTGAAAATATAATACCTCTAATGCATTAAAGTAAGAAACAACTTCTTTCTCTCTGTCTTCTTTTTCCCCTTGAAGGCATTCTAGTTGGTGCTGTAAATTGTTATTAATAAGTTCTAATTGTTCTTGTCTGTACTGCAGCTCATTCATTCTTTCTTCAAGACTGGCCTGTTCAAAATAGAAAAAAAAAAACCAAACTTAAAAAACTACTTTCATAAAGAACTTTTCAGTTAGCTACTCTTCAGGTTATCCCAGTAACATTTCTTAAAAAAAAAAAAAAATTTTTAAAATCAAACATGCGGGGCTACGAGGGACTGTGGATAGACCAATAGGCTCAGATCCATGAAGACCACAGTTCCAATAGTACTTCAGACACTTAAGAGCTCTGTGACCCTGAATAAGTCACTTAATCTCTCCCAGCTTCAGTTTCCTCATCCATAAAATAAAGGAATTGGACTCAATGGCCTCTAGAAGGTTTCTTCCACTGTTAAACTGATGATCCTATGAAAAGGTAAAAAGGAAAATGTACAAAGTATGGGACCAAAAGCAGCTTAATTTCCTGGCTGGGAACCAACGGTAGGTCCTAAAGGCCTTCTCTCTGAGAATTTGCTTTTCCTTTGTGATTCCTTTTACTATTGTATCAGAGTCAGTCTAACACTCCAATCCCCCACCCCTCCTCAATTGGACCTTCCCTTCTGACAAAGGATAATTAGGCAATAACATCTGATATAATGGCAATTTAATACAATCTATTGTCTTAGATACCACTTAGATATCTCAGCCACTGTTGTTGGGTGGTATTATTTCTTTGTTCTTCAGCACTGTCAGTTACTCAGATTACAAATTTTTTTATAGATCCTTTCATTTACACATTACTGTAGTCACTGTGTTCCAGGTTCTCTTGGTTCTACCCTAGCATTTGTCATCTTTCCTGATTTTCTGGGTATAAGGTGAAACCTCACAGCTATTTTAATTTACATTTCTATTACAGTGGTGATTTGGAGTATGTTTCAAAATAGTCATTTGTATTTTTCAATTTTCTTTTAAAACTGTTTGTTCATAACCTTTGACTACTTATCTATTTGGGATTGGTTCCAAGTATTAATAGATTTTTGTCAATCCTCAATATATTAGCTATCAGAATTTTATCAATGATATAAGATAAAAATATTTTTCCTCACTCTAATTTTTTTCAATCTTTGCAAATGATTTGCACAAAAGCAGTTTAATTTTATGCAGTCAAAAATCATTTATTTTTTATGATCGCCTTTCTCTTGTTTAATAATTTTCCCCTTAGTTTTAGGAGTGTGGAATATATCAAACCTGGCTGATGTGGGTTGTTTTGGAGTACCTTATTTTCTTTTTTTTTTTAAATAGGAGATGGCTTACTGAGAAGAAGTAAAGGGGGAAAGATGGGTTCAGAAATGAAAGTGATGTTTAAAAAATGGAAAAACAATAAAATTTAAAAATTTTTCAGAGAATTAAAAAAAGAATTCTCCCTCTAACAAAAAGCATGAAGGGTACTGGATCTTATTATTTACTTTTGCTGTGAGACGTTTTATTTTAGTTTATGTACTCATTTTAGTATAAGATGTTGGTCTAAACTTCATGTCTATCTAAGTCCTTTCAACTTTCCCCAGAAGATGTACCAAGTAGTTTTGATGATGGCTACTTTACAATACAATTTGAGGCCTGGTAATATTATCCCTCCTTTATTTATGCTTTTTCTCAATATTATACTTAAGATTTTAGGCCTTTTGTTTTAGATGAATTTTATTCTGTCTAGTTCTATAAGTTAATTTAAGCAGCAAAGTCATTTTTATATTAGCACAACCCCAACCATGAGTAATGAATCTCTCTCCAATTACTGAAGTCTCTCTTTATTTCTGAAAAGTATTTTATAGCTGTAGTTACATAAATCTTGCACATGTGTTGGTAGGTTAATTCACAGACATTTTATGCATTTTGTCTGCCTGAAAACTTAGGTTTCCTGCTGGTAATCAAATCACAGGATAGGATTGTAGGAATGCAAACTTTATGTATAACAATTTTGAATTTCAACACTGTTTTAGACTTGAAATACGACTCTAATCTTTGTTATAACATTCACCATCTACCAGTATTAAATAACTGTATTTCATGAGGCACTAGCCACTATAGCATAAGCATCACATTAAACTTAAAATTAAAATATGCCCTAGGTCTCTAAAAAGATGATTCAGCATTTTCTAACGAGATTAATAAAAGTTAGATCAATAACCATTTCGTCTTGAAAGTTAGCTCATTTACTTTAAGAGACAGAAAAGAACTATCATACTATAAAAGACAACTCAAACAAAGAATCAGGAAATTGTATGCTATAAATCCATACCTTTACACTTTCCAACTCAGTTATCTCAATTTGAAGATTCAGCATTTCTGAAGACATGGTTTCTTGTACACGCTCAGACATTATCCGCAATTCCTCTGATTTAGCAGACAAGATTTCTTTCTGATGTTCTACTTTGTGTTTCAATTGTTTTTCACTTAGTCGGGCTTCATCTAACTCAGCTTTCAACTTTTCCAGCTTAAAAAAAAAATACAATTGATATAAAAAGTAACCAAGTCACTATAGGTAATTGTGGGAATTTGTAGTTGGGAAAAGTATTATATTTAGATAACTAAAGGTTAATGTAATAATTTTGGAATGAAACCCATCCAAAATATATCACAGAACTGCAAGTTTTAGTGAACAGAATATATTGGACATAATTTAACATTTTTTAAATTTAATTTTGTTTTCAATTAACAAAAATCTATTTTCTCTCCCTCCTACCTCTCCCAATTGTGTGTGTGTGGGGGGGGGGGGAACTGTGGTATCAAATATGCACAGTCAAACTAAACAAATTTCCACACTGGCCATGCCCAAAAAAACTTGTCTCATTCTAAACCCTGAGTTCACCACTTCCATGAAGAGGTAAACAGCACAATCCATCATGAGTCCTCTGGAATCATGTTTGGTCAATGAGTTGGTAAGAGTTCTCAGGTCTTTCAAAGTAGTTTGTCTTTATAGTGTTATGATACAAATTGTTCCCCTGGTTCTGCCCATTTCACTCTGTACCAGTTCATACAAGTCTTTCTAGGATTCTCTGAAACTGTCCCCTTCATTCCATCACATTTATATAGCATAATATGTTCAGCCACTCCCCACCTGAGGGATACCCCTTTTGTTTACAGTTCTTTAACACTACAAAAAAAGCTCCTATAAATATTTTTTACATATAGGTCTTTATTCTATTTACTCGATGTCTTTGGGGTATAGTCTAATAGAGGTATTCACTGGGTCAAAGGGTATGTACAGTTTCGTGACATTTTGGATACTAACAACCATGCAAAAGACTGCCCGAGATGACTACATGAGAAACACAAATAAAAATAACTCTTAAGGTTTCACTTCACATCCAGCAAACTTGAAATGATAAAAAATGGAAACAAGTCAATGTTAGACGAGGTATGGAAAGACAGGTACACTAACACTAACAGTGGAGATGCAAATTGGTCCAACCATTCTGGAAAGGATTTTGGAATTATGTTAAAAAGGGTGAAAACGTCCATAGAGGTCCACAACTGAAAGGTCCCATGCAAACCAAAACATTCATAAGCAGCACTTCTTATGGGAACAAAAAACTGTAAGCAAAATAGATGTCCTTCAACTGGAGAAGAGCAAAACAAATTGTGGCACATGAATAATGGGACATTACTGCACCATAAGAAATACGAAAAATTCAGTTTGAGACATATGACCTGATGCAAAGTGAAGTTAGAAACAGGAAAATAACATACATAAGAACTTCAACAAAAATGGAAAGAACCTAAAAAAAAAAAAAAGAAACTGAACATCATTTAATTATAATGACCAAAGCTGGCCTCCAGACAAGGATGAGAGAATGTACCTCTTGTACCTCCCTTCCTTCTTTGCACAGAGGTATGGGACAATAGGTGTGGAACATTGCATATACTGTCACAGTCAGCTGATGTGTTGATTAGTTTTGCTGAGGAGCTTTTTTTTTCCTTTCTCTATTCTTGTTACAAGGAAGGTATGGCTGGATGCAAATGGGAAGAGAGAGGGATAAACTTGGAAATGAATGTGATATAACAAGATACAAATAAAAGTTTGAAAAAAATGACAATTCAAACCTTGTTTTTAAGTTCGTTCACTTCCTGCCCATGGCTCCTTGATAGCTGTTCTTCTAATTTATCCAGCTGCAATTTTTGCTGCTGTCTAATGGCATCACATTCAGAGTTCAAACTTTCCAACATGCGATTTTTAAGTTCAACTTCTCGCTGAAGAGTAAATTTTTCTTGTTCATAACTCTAGGGAAAGATTCAATTACAATACAAATGTAGTAAAACTAATTTAGCTTGCTATTACATAGATATATTTCTTACCTACCACTGCTCTGTAATTGGAAAACCAATTAGGATACAGTTTTGTGTAGTAGAAATTGGACCTGGGTTCAAATTCTGGCTCTGCTACAAATTACTTGCTATGCCTCAATTTCCTCATCTGTGGGCTAAAAATGATATCTGCATTATTTACCTCACTAGAACTGCTTTAAGAATGGAATATTATGTATGTTAAGTGCTGTGTAAGTTGTAAAGCTCTATAGAAGATTAGGTTACTATAATAACAGGTGAGGTATGAGTCTGTGAGAACCTAGATAAGGTTAGTGACAATAAGAATAGAAAAAGGGGGTAACAAAAGTGTTTTGCAAAAAAAAAAAAAAAAATCATCAAGAAAAAATGTCAGTGACTGAAAGATGGTTGTATCGCTGACTCAATAAGAAATACAGGAAAAATAATCAATTTAGATCTGGAAAGGCAAATGAATTTAATTTTGGACCTCTCAAATTCAACTCATGGAATGTGAGAGGTGAGAGTTGAGAATTGTAAAGGTTCTCAGTAATCACTCAATGTAATGTCTTTTCTTCCTAATGAAAGCCAGGGAAAACCTACCTGGGGTTACACATTAAGTTAACTAAAATTAGGTCTCCTATCTAAACTGGGTAAATAAGAAGTCATGTTCTAAGACATTCAAAATGTAAGAGAGGGCAAAAGGACTGGGCTAAAGATTTGAGAGGCAGTATGACTTGGAGGGTCAGCCACAGTCATGGAGACCCGGATTTAAGAGCCATCTCTCACATTACTGGTTTCACAATAGGCAGGCAAGTCACTTAACCTTTCAGTACCCCAAGCAACTCTAACTCTCTCAGTGATACAGCAACTACTAATCAGCATCCCTAGAGAGAGTTTTCTATGGTGATTACCTACAATAAAAACAAAAACAAAACCCACAGGACCAGTATTCTACCCCACCCCTACAAAAAAAAAAAATTTGATTGGCATGAGCACAGAAAGAAAAGTAGACCAAGCTGTAAGAAAGTGCCTGGTTAATGAGAAAACTGTAGAAATAGAACAGCACAGGGTCAAGGACCTAATTTTGGTAAATACTAACAGGGAGAGATTGAAAAAAAGAATAGGAAATCAGGAAAGATCTTGTCTTAATTCCCATTTTTCACTTCACTCACTTGTATACTTATCTCTTCTTTATGCCTGGATTAATTTCCCAAATGCCAGGGATAAAGGTAGTCCCCCTCCTTTAAAAAAGAATAAACCTCAGTAAATGCTATCCATATAAATGACTAAAAATAATGGGGTTATTTAAATAATTTAAATATAATATTTAATATTTAATAAATATACTAAATAATTTAACCAAATTGAATTTTGTAACATAAGAAACCAAACTGCACGTGTAAAAGACTCTAAATCTGATTCTTCCTACCAACCTAAGTACAGGCACTTTTCTTTCTTTCTTTTTTTTTCCTTGAGGTAATCGGGGTTAAGTGACTTGCCCAGGGTCACACAGCTAGTAACTGTCAAGTGTCTGAGGTTGCATTTGAACTCAGGTCCTCCTAAATCCACAGTTGGTGATCTATCCACTGCACCACCTAGCTGCCCCCATGCAGGCACTTTTCAAAGCTCATTTTTAACTTTGCCGTTCTGTCACTGAGTTTTCCTAAGTGGAATGATTCCATCATAAAGACGAAATTAAACCAATTTCACTACTAGGAAATAAAATTTTCCCCAGCAAAAGTCTTCCCTGTAAATCTAGTCCAAATAAAGAATCCTACCTCTGTTATGGTCATTATTTCACTTCTCATTTTATCCAATTGGTTCTGCAGCTCACTTTGGCTCTCCAATAGCAGTAAACCATACTGTGCTGCTTTCATTCGTTCCTCTTCAGCCTCTTTCAGCTGCCGACGAAGATTCAAAACTAACTCAGACTCCATTTTATTTCTCTGCTTTCAGTCTACGAGGAAAAAACAAACACAAAAAATTAGAGCTCATACAAAATTTAACAAAAAAATAAAAATAATGGCAATGTGAAATTATAGTTTCCTGAACTGTTAGTAATCAAATTTGTTTTCTTTATCCAAAAATTAGTTTTTATTACTTGTGATCTGAACTCAATTCCAAGCATAAAATTAGTTGAATCAACTTAAAATTGGTCTTTAAAAATTCAATAAGAAAAGCAGATTAGATGTTATTACCTTCATTAAGTAATATAATTAAAAAGGAAACAATGAAAATCAAAAAACTTTCATATTAAAATAGCGAGTTTGCTGCTTAATTTGAATAAAATTTACATTGCAACACAAGAAACCCTATGCTTTTAGTAGTTTCAAAATATAACAATGTTAACTTTCCAGATGCGTAAGTTTACCTCATTAAAAACAGAACCACTAGAGGTTAGATGCTTCCAAAAAAGATTTTATTACAAAGATGCATAAATAACCTATTTAGGGAATGGCAGCATTGCTCTTAGTCTAAATTTTCAAAAGATAAGGTTTAAGCTTACATTTTTATTTTTTAAATGTTCTTTTAACTTATACTCCGGGGTCTTTCACCTTTCAAATTTTATTCACTATCTTTTAAAAAGAACTGAACTCAGCTTTTGTTTTACAGCAGCAAAAGGTTCAGATCATCAAAGAAATTCCCCTTCCCTCCCCCCATTAACTTTTCTAGGTTTCAAGTTTGTAAATGCAGCTCTAAAATGTTAATTCTGAGGAATGGAAATGCAAATCCTATTGAAATACCATTAGAGACCTGGCTTCCAGCTAGATAGAAAATTGTCCAAGTGGGCTTAAGTCAAAAGTATTATTACAGTTTCAACTTTTCCCTCTCCATAGCCATAAATGAAATGCCAGTAACCCATTCTAACATGACATCAAAAGCCCCTATCTCCAGTTGATAATTTAGTATGTACCCATGCATTCTCACTAGGTCCTTCTTACAAAATGTGAACCTGGTTCTAGTTTCCATTCTGCTACTACTATGGTATGCTGTTAATCTTTCTAGGCCTCTATTTCTTCAGGTGTAAAATGTATATATACATTGGTCTAGATGACTTCTAAGATCTCTTCCAGTGCCTTTTTTTTTTCGGGGAGGGGGTAGAGGGATAGGAACATCAATGCCTGTGATTCAGGTGACATAGGAAACTTGTCGTGTGAAAATTTCTTCCACAGGGAGGCAATTCTTTTGTAACTTAAGTCGTAGAAAGTATGAAGGGGTTGAAGTGGGGACAGAGACTGCAAGGCTAAGTGACTTGTATTCACAATTAATGTGTACAGAAGCAGGCTCGAACCTGAGTTTCTGATGTTCCAGTCCAGCTTCAGTATTATCTACTACCCCCATACTGCCTTCTCATGTTAAGGATTCTAAATCTATTTTTACCAAGAGTCTACAGGAGGCATGGGGTGGGTGACTCAGTTTTTGGCATTCTTGAGGCTCCTTCAAGATTTAGTTTAACTAAACTTAAACTTTCCCCCATAGAAATCCTCTCTCCCCATATGAAATAGTAGCTCACAATTCTTTATTGATTGACACACAACAGTCCTGTGAGGAGGGTACTGAGGCTCCAGGGACCCAAAGAGGGCAAGAACCAATATTTCAGCAGGTTTCCAAACCGAGGAGGGGTCACACTTGTTCTGCATAGTCCCCCACATCGTGTGACCTTCTCTACTGGGATGTGAGCTCCCCAGAGCAGGGGTGTCTCCCTTTTCTATTTGTATCCACATCACCTAGAAATTGTTGGGAGTGTGGTGGGGGGGGGGGGGGGGCTGTTATTCCTTCTGGGATTGAGGTTAGAGTCGGTGAACTCCGTAGTTGTTCAGTTAGGTCCGACTCTTCATGACCCCATTTAGGATTTTCTCGGCAGAGATACTGGAGTGGTTTATCATTTATCATTTCCTTCTCCAGCTCATTTTACAGATGAGGAAACTGTGGCAAACAGGGTTAAGTGACTTGCCCAAGGTCACAGAGCCAGTACATGTCTAAGGCAGGATTTGAACCCAGGTCTTCGGGACTCCAGGCCTGGCGCTCTATCCATTGCACCACTTAGCTGCAGCTCCCCGAACCCGAAGATCTAGGGATTTTTTAAAAAATCAAAAACAAAAGAAAAGCTTTATCCACGTGACCCTTCCACCCCCACCCCCACTGGTGAATAAGGAAAACCTGGGTGTAAGTATCACTTGCGACACTGAACGACGGCTATTATTATCATCTATTACCCTGAGCCTCAGTTTCCTCATCTGTAAAGTGAAGGGGTGGAACCCGACGGCCTGGGAGGTTCTGACGTCTACGAGGTGACCGCCCCTTCCCAGTGCTCCCCCACTCACCCTCCCCTTAACCCCGACCCCTCCCCACACTCGCTTCTTCCTCCTCTCCCACTCCGAACTCCCCCATTCCTCTCATCACAGCACCCCCCTCCCCCCACCCCCAACAAAGAAGGGAGCTGTCCATTCTTCCCCGCCCCCCGCCCTGAGTCCCGGACTCACCAACCGGCTCCACAGAGGCACCGTTGGGACAGCGCCCAAGCTTATTTGAATTCAGCTCCCGGGATGACTCGCCTTTCTCGCGAGAACCTCGGCTGCTGGAAAAGGACACGGAGAATGCGCAAGCGCGATGGGACTCGAACGGCGTCCGGCTGAGCGAGAGGATGGGGACCATCTGCGCATGCGTCGCCGTCTCCCAGTTAAATATGCAAAGTGTGTCGGGTGCTATGCTAAGACCTGGATAAAAGCAAGCAATACAGTCCCTGCCTTCAAAAAAAAAAACTTATATTCCACAAGTATCTCCTCACTTGAGTCTATTTTCCACTCAGCCATCAAGGTGATCTTCCTAAAGTGCAGGTCTAACCATGTCATCTTAATCAGCTCCAGTGGCTCCCTCTTACCTCCAAAATCAGACATAAAGTCCTGTTTTTTACAATCCTTCGTAACCTGGCATTCTCCTAACTTTCCAGTCTTATTACACTTTTACATCCTACCCTGTATTCTGTGACCCCATGACACTGGCCTCCTTGCTGTTCCTCACACAAGACGCTCCATGTCCTGATTCTAGGAATTTCTCTGGCTGTCCCCCATGCACAGAATGGCCTTGTTCCTCATCTCTGCCTCCCAGCTGCCCTGGCTTCCTTCAAGTCCCAATTAAAATTCCACCTTTTACAGGAAGCCTTTCCCAATCCCTCTCAATTCTAGTACTTTCCCTTTGTGGATTGTTTCCAATTTATCCTGTTAATTTGTATATATATATATATATATATATTTGTATATATATCCTGCTTATTTGTATAGAGTTCTTGGCATGTTTCCCCCCCCCCTCTAGATTGTAAGTTCCTCAAGGACAGGGACTGTCTCTTATGTTTCTTTGTATCCCCAGTGGTTACCACAGTGCCTAGCACATAGTAGGTGTTCAACAAATGTTTATTGATAGAAGAACGGAAAGACAATGCATAAAGGGGAGCTGGAATGGGGAGACAGATGAAGGGATAGCATGCACATTCTTGCATTGTTTGGAGTTGGGGGCCAGAACTGATCCTGGATCCTGCTCACGTATCAGACCCAAGGGTGGTTCCTAGGGCAGAGTCTGAATTTCTGGTGAGGAGGAGATGGGAATGAAGGGCAGAGCAGAAGCCTTGAAATATAAATGTCAGTTTTATGATAACCTCATTCTCTACTTTTTCAATAGTGTTTGGATTAAGATGGTTCTGAGGGATGTATTCTGCTATTGTTCTCCTATGTTTAATATTCTATGGACTGTTGCAAAGATGGATAAAATAACTGCTTTGTGTTAACTGAATACAAGTATTGAAATGTAAGCTCATCTTCCATAGGTTCACTGAAAGTCCATTTGAACAATTTCAGTAGCATACAAGACAATGAGATGATATCATTGTGTTCCTACATTATTTTTATTTCTTTTGCTTGGTCTCTTATGTTTTGCAAGTTTTTTGTTACACAGAGCTTGGAGCTTATGTGTATTTCCAACAGCAACATCTATTAAAATATTTCTTAAATTGCTATGGAACAGTATTATTGTTTTGTTATTGTTATCATTTTGTTGTTTATGTTGATGTTATTCCTGCTACTTGGATAAAGTGGTGGGGCAGCTGCAGTTATCATGGCATTTTTGACCAAAACAGGCTTTTTGTCCTAGATAATGAAAGTAAAAGGTGCATTGATTCTGGCATGCAGTACATTTAGACAATATCGTAAGATAGGCGCTTTCTTTTTTTTTTTCCAACTATTGACAAAAAGGGTTTTATTTACCCATAGCAGGTAGATGTTCAACAAGTTTAGGCATTGAGGACACCTTAAATTGATTTAGTTGATCAGCCCGCTTGTCTGAGTTGCCTATTCTGATCCACTAACCAGACATCAGAGAATGCCTGGAGCTCCTTGTGGCTACTTTGTACTTCAGTGACCAGAAAGTGATGTCAACAGCTTGAGCCTTAGTCCTCTGAACCTTATAAATAGGCAGCACAAATGGAGGAAGTGGAAAGATTGGAACACAAATTAACTAAGGTTAACAACTCTCTTAAGGAGTAACTTAATCTGGGAGAATGTTGGGAAATGACAGCCCTCCAGGTTTGTGTGATCAGGCCCATGTGGGTGGGATGTGATATCTTTGCAGTTCATAGTGGATGCCTCCGTGTAAAAAGGAGACCATAAGCAAGAGCAGCACCAGGCTCATCAGGGCTACAGCAAAGATGAAGACACTTCCTGCATAGTCACTGATATTCATCACTTGTGAAGGGGAATTTTCTTCTATCACCACTCATTTCGGGTTCCCTGGCCCACCAAGCAAAACCTCCTTTCTACCTCCAGTAACCCATTAGCTAAGAGTCAGGGAGTTAGAGCAAAGATTAAAGTAGAAACTGAATCAAATGATGTTAAATATGAGAAAACACTATTTGTGATCATAGCAGCCACAACCCAGTTTATTTAAACAAGTTGATGAAAAACGGAAAAAGAAAAGACTGCTTTTTGGACACCATAATTTAAAGAAGTTTAACGGCTACAAAACAGTTTCCAAAATAAGGCCAAAGGAACCCAGAGAACTGCCTCAAGACAGCAAATACTTTATTTCCTTTGCAAGTAGAGATATATGACAGCTAAAGGCTCATTTGCAAAAATACCTAAGAGGATGACAGTAGACTATAAACAGTAGTACTTCATAAATAAACAGCAAAAAGCAGGTTGGGGGAAAAGTAGCCTGAAAACAAAGTTTAACAAGAATTACAATCAAGTTAGATCACTGAAAGAGCGTATGAGCCATAGAGAAAGCAACAAAAATAGATGTGAATTTGGGTAGATTAGCCAATTTTTTAATAGAATGATCTATTCTCAATGGCAATGATGATATTGCAATCTCTACATTTTGAATCAACATGTGTGGCTCTGTGAGCCAAATCTGATGAGAGTAAGGTTCAAACAATACTCATCTCCCTCCTTTCTTTCCCTCTATTGTAATAGGTCTTTGTGCCTCTTCATGTGATGTAATTTACCCTTTTCTGCCTCCTTTCCTCTTCTCCCAGTACAGTCTCTTTTCACCACTTAATTAGATTTTTTTATCATCACATCAAAGTCAACTTATACTCACATTCTCTGTTTATGTATATCCCTTCTAAATGTCATAATAAAAATACAGTTCTCAAGAGTTACAAGTATCATCTTCTCTTGGAGGGATGTAAACAGTTTGCCCTTATTGAATAACATGTTGTTGTTTTTTTTTTCTTTCCTGTTTACCTTTTTACGCTTCTCTTGAGTCTTGTATTTGAAGATCAAATTTTCTGTTGAGTTCTGGTCTTTTCATCAGGAAAGTTTGGAAGTCCCCTATTTCATTGAATGCCCGTCTCCTCACCTGAAAGATTATGCTTATTTTCGCTGGGTAGTTGATCCTTGGTTGTAATCCAAGCTTCTTTGCTTTACAGAATATCATATTCTAAGCCCTCCGATCTTTTAATGTAGAAGCTGCAAGGTCCCACATAATCTTGACTGTGATTCCATGATATTTAAATTGTTTCTTTCTGGCTGCCTGCAGTATTTTCTGCTTGATCTGATAATTGTGGAATTTGGCTACAATATTCCTTGGTGTTTTCAATTTGGGATCTCTTTCAGGAAGGGATTGGTGGGTTCTTTCGATGACTATTTTACCTTCTGGTTGTAGGACCTCAGGGCAATTTTCCTTGATGATTTCTTGAAAGATGCTGTCCAGACTCCTTTTTTGATCATAGGTTTCAGGTAGAACAATAGTTCTTAAATTATCTCTCTTGGATCTATTTTCCAGGGCAATTGTTTGTCCAATGAGGTATTTTATGTTTTCTTCTATTTTTTCATTATTTTCATTTTGTTTGACTGATTCTTGATGTCTCATAGGGTCATTAGCTTCCACTTGCCCAGTTATAATTTTTAACAAGCTGTTTTCTTCAATTAGCTCTTATACCTCCTTTTCCATTTGGCCAATTCTGCTTTTTAAAGAGTTGTTTTCTTCAGTGAACTTTTTTCCACTTTGCTCAGTTGTATTTTTTAAGGACTTGTTTTCTAGTTTTCTAGTCCTTAAAAAAAAAATAAAGGACAAATTGTCCTTCTTTTTCCAAGCTATTGACTCTCTCTTGCATACCTCTCATTTCTTTTCCCAATTGTTCTTCTACCTCTCTTATTTGACTTTTAAAATCCTTCTTGAGCTCTTCCAAGAAGCCTTTTTGGGCTTGAGACCAATTCATATTCCCCTTTAAGATTTTGGATGTGGGTATATTGACAATGTTGTCCTCATCTGAATTTGTGTTTTGATCTTCCCTGTCCCCATAGTAAGAATCTATGGTCATTGTACATTTTTGCTTTTTGCTCTTGATGTTTGCCTATTTCTTGGCTTTTAAAGTTGAGCTCTCCTTCTGGAGCACAGGGGCATTGATCCAAGCTTCTTGTGCTGGGGGTCAGGAACCTGGTTATTGGCTTTGTGTGTTGGGGCCTCAGGTGCTGGCAGCTGGAGACTATAGGTATCTGGCAGCTTACCTGGTGCTGAACTGGAGTCAGCAACACTGAAGCTCTCAGGGTAGAGGGGAGTTTGGCCCCTGGAGGATGGCTACTCTAAAGCACCAGAAGGTTTGGCTGCTGGAGTTGTGCTAAAGAATGGGGAGGTTTGACTACTGGAGTCTATTGGTTCCCCTGCCTGCGCCAAAGCATTCGGGAGGAAGAAGGGCAAAGGGGGTCCTGGTGTTGTCGCCTGCCTGCTCCACCACCCTGGGGTTCAGGATCTCCTGCTGGTTTGCCAGGGTGGGGCTTGCCACAGGTTACTGGGGCACCTGGTGTCCTGTCCTGCTCCCCTTCCACCAGAGCAAGAGGGACCTTTTCCATTAATCCCCCAAGCTTCCCAGGTTAAAAGACTGCTTCACCCCATCTTTCTGCTGGCTCAGCTATTCCAGGGTTTTCCATGGGGTGCTATTTTCTGGGTTTTTAGAGTTCAGTAAGGGAGAGTGAAACCTCTCTGGCCTTATCTGTTTCTGACCCTGTTTCTGGGGCTGACAGGATATACAGGAACAGATATTGAGCAGGCAACTGGAAATCATTGGATCATCACATGG